CCGTTATTTTTATGTACATCGACGGGATCGAGAAACACTCTTACCAATAATTGAACGTGAATGCGAGGCAGGATCAGAAATTCATTCTGATGAATGGGCTGCATATAGGTGTCTTACAAGACGGTAAATCACCAAATCTCATATGTCGATGCAAATACAGGAGCCCACACTCAAAACATTGAGAGGTCATGGTTGAACTCGAAAATTAAATTTTTGAAGAAAATTAGGGGTGTTCTTCTTAATCATTTGCAGTCCCATATTGATGACTATTCCTGGTGACTTTACCGTCAAGACAGTCCGGACCTTTTTCTCGCATGTTAGAAGACATTCAGATCGTGAATAATCGTTTTTGAATGAATATAAAATAAATCTCAGTCAAAACGACGTATGCCGACTGTAGATCATACCAACTCAGACACTTGTCTATAAAGAATCATTAATAAAATATAAATATACCGACTTAGACATTTTCCAGTAGAGCGCATACTGAAACAGAAACTTGTTGGTAGAGCGCATACCGAAACAGAAACTTGTTAGTAGAGCGCATATCGAATCAGCACCCAAAGATGTATGAGCACACGACCAATGAAACTTTTTTCGGTGAATTTCTTCTTTTTTTTTGTTATAGGTACTTCTTAATTCTTATTCATTCAAAAATAACTTGAACCACACCGTATATCCCCTTATTTGTGTTGTTCTACTGCTGGAAATGAACACAATTTACAATTGAATATTTTGTTACACCTGTGAATATTAATGTTGTTTGGGTAGAACTGTGTGGAATTATGTTTCAGTACACACACACACACACACACACACACACACAATGAGTAGAGTCACAGTTACTTAAACTAGCTTTTTTTAAATGTACCTCTAACAAATTAACAAAACACTTATACCTTTTATTACACGGTTCCTAACATGAAATTTCACCGATTCAGTGTTCACAGTGTCCACGGCCATTTACAGGTTACAATAGACTTTCGTTTAAATTTTATTTCCACTTATATCACAACCAATGAGCACAATAATACTAATATGTTTTCTTACACAGTTCTTAGTATTTATTCTATATAGTTAATGCATTGTATTCAGCATACAAATTAAACTAAATGTGTATTTTTGTCAGTTGGTTACTCAGCAAAGTAGCAAACATTATCAATACAGAAGATATAGCTGTACAATTCAAACCATTTTATAAAACCACATAATATAAATATTCTACAGCACATAAACTTAACTTCATTATCCAGTTATGGAGTTCGGATAATATAATTTAACGAATTCACTTAACACATACACCACCTATACAACGTTTGAATCAATTATTATAACGTTATTGAGAACAGCCCTCTTTTTAAACTTCAAGTTTTGATTTATAATTAAAATTAATTGGCCTGTAACTAAAGTCCTTACCTTATAATATCTTTATTATTTCAATAAACCTGCACACTGCAATGCCAAACTTTTAAACGGCATTCAATATTTGTGTTTACAATTTGCAATGTTATACTGGATCACTGTAAACACTATATTATATTTTTATTCACTATTGAAAACATTTTATCTTTAACAACTGACTTCTCTTATTAAACATAGTTTCGTGCTGACTACACTGAGATATGTTAATTCCTGGTTTAATAATAGTTACATTATGATATGTATTAAAATGAAATTGTTTCCACTCTTAATTCGACTTCACTTATAGGTCATTGAGAAGGAGGGGGAAGGCGTGGAGATCATCGACGTCATGATGGAGGAAGAGGATGACATGGAAGTCGTCGAAGTCCAGGTGGTCGACTGGGGGGAGGCCATGGAGGTCGTCGAAGTCCTGGTGAACGACGAGGACGAGGGCGTGGAAGTGGTCGAAGTTTGGATGGACGAAGCTCGAGCAGAACTCGAGTTTGCCGACGTGCTCGACGTCGACGAAGAGGTCAGTAAATAGGTCTTATTTATTACGAAACATAGAAAAAAAATTATAATATATTGAATTACAGTTCGGACCGATTCCAGCGGGTGTTCTGGTGGAACGACCCGGAGAGCGCTCGCCCATGATCGACCGGCCAGCGGGAGTGACACACCCGCTTCCAGAGCGTCAACACGTGGGCGCGTTGACTGCTGTCTGTCAGCACTGTGACGCCCGTCACTTCCCCGACGAGCGTACGACCGCGGGTCCCTTCTCCGCGTGCTGTAACAATGGCCAAGTGACTGCTACAGGTGACCGTGTATTTTTTTTTTTTTTTTTTTTTATTGATCTTAAGCTTCGGCAACTGAGGCCATTAGCTGTAGTAGGATTTGTATTGTAGGTTTGTTTGTATTGTATATATTTTGGGACGGTAGGGGGGAACACGTGTGTGTTTGTTTTTGGCAGAATTTNTTGTATTGTATATTTTGGGACGGTAGGGGGGAACACGTGTGTGTTTGTTTTTGGCAAAATTTCGAATGGGGCACCCGTAGGTTTCTGCCATGCCCCGGGGGTGGGGGATGGCAGCACTTGTTCTCCGGTCAACGCGACTTGTCCGGAGAAAAATGCCGCCCGGTAGCCAAGGAACGAACAGCGACCGGCTGCGTCGCAGCGGACGCGTCAGACCACTCGGTCACCTCATCCCCCTGACCGTGTATTGTTTCCTGCCCCGTATCTGTTGATGAATTTGTTGATTTCCGATTCACAGGACAGCCGTAGATACCGAACGGACATCCGTCGGTACAACAACGCTCTGGCATTCGCGGCGTTTACCAGCAGCTTAAGCCCCAGACGTTTGCCAGGGCGAGGACCGACGGTGTTTATGCTCCAGAGGCAAGCGTATTATCGGACCAACAACGACGTGGCCGTTAACCGCGAAGAGACGAGATACTGCGAGTTGTATTTCATCGAGTCGGAGGAGGCCAACGCCCGCCGACTCGACATGGCAAGACAGAGAAATCAACACGATCAGTCAGAGAGTGTGATGACTGACTTGGACACTATGCTGCGGGAGAGGAATCCGTACGCATTAGCTTTTAGGTAAGAAAACTCATTCAAAAACTATTGTGTTTACTTACACAGCGAATCACAATCAAACAACCCCATGGAATAAATACATTTTAGAGGTACCTTTCTCTTTACCTATTGGCTGTTGTATGCTTTAAATAATACTAAACTATCCAAAACATTATTTGTCATACTTTAACCGATAAACTAATTGTATTAACACAAAGTATTAACTTTAACTGTTGCTACAATATTGTGGGTAAACTAAATGACATGAAATAATACATGCAAATTATTAATTTGGTGTTCCACGTACTACGTAGACCATTGCTTTCATTAAGACTGCAAATATGAATTAGTCAACCTCGGTCAATAATTTTTATGATTTGCAATTGTTCGTGCCTGTTGTATATGATTCTTTAACCTCATTACAACTGCAGACACTCATTTATGTATATTGTTTTATTGTATAAGATAATTACTATGTTAATGATATTGCGGTGTACATCAAACACAGTTTGCACTATTGTTGAATTTACTGAAACTCTTGCTACTACTACCTAACCTAACCTAACCCACTATCGTTACTGAATTACTTGAATGAATACTATTAAACAATAGGGCTTGGCTGTTTATGACTGAACATAAATTGTTGAATTGTACACAATTTTGCACAATGTTCAATTTTATTATTGTTCTAACGTAATTCCTTATAAGTCTTTGACATAGTACTAATAGCATTAATACATTTTGGGTCATATACATATACTTGCACATTTTAGCATCTCATTTTTTCCAGGAATATGCGTCAGGCGTGGCAGGCAGAAAGAGACTTAGCCGACGCCGATCCCGTAGGCGTGCGTCCTAGGCCAATTACAATGCGTCTCGTCGCTGATGCGACCCGAGATCAGCGGCGATACAACCTGCCCACCGCAAATGAAGTCGCGGCTGTGTTCGTTGGTGACGACTGTCGTCCGCCCAGAAACCTCGATCTGGTCATCTACGACACAAATCCAATCAACCCGCAACACAGGATGCAAAATATACCTGCGGGTTTGTTAATGACTATTTCACACAATACTCTTTTGATTTAACTATTCATTCACATTCACCACATGAATACACTTTTATTTATTAACACTAGGTGTAACTCTTAAATACTGGCAGTATTGCATTCAATTCACATGGTTGGGTGTTGTATATGTATATCATGCACAATAGTCATTACATTATTAGAACTTATATGCCGGTTAACATAATATCCATCATGTTATTTATATAGCAATTGTCTACTAAACTGCAAACAACATTCAATTGATTCTTTATGATATCAAAAACTATGTTACATTTGTATCATCGATTGTATTGATAATATTAAGGAAGATTTTTTTTCACTCAAAATTACTCCATACACAACACTACATATTTATGCAAATACTATACAGAGGTCGGAGAATAACACAAATGGAAAGAATGGGTGAAATCAACTCAGAAGATGCTAGAAATAGCCGATTTGATTGGAAGATGGTTACAGTTATGATTTTATCATTTTATGACTTGACGGGTGATACATTCGAATTTATGTTAGAGAAATTAGAAAATAAAATTATGTTATTAAACAAAATTATTATTTCTAAAATTATTTATTAATAATTTTTTTTTATCTCTCTATGTATTGTTATTAATATATGTTTTATACTTCTACTTAATATTTTTTTTTTTTTTATCTCTCTATGAATGTTTATGCGTTTATTAATATATGTTTTATATTAATACCTTAAGAACGTACATCGCCAGGATGCGATTGTGCCCGGCCGGTCGACAGAATGTCGCACACTAACGATATTAAAATGCCTATTAGTGAATAACACACATTAATAACTTTTGTATATAAAATATCATATTCGCTCTTGGCACCATGATTTAGCCGACTCTTAGTAGCCGCTATGTATATATATATAGCTTGCACCTGCATACTTAGAACTCTATGGTATCCTTATTCAATTAAAAATACTACACACATCAAAACCATTTATATTGATAGACGTATTGACAATAAAATATTCACACACCACCTGGACATTAGTGATCGAAAGACATTTCCTGCCAAATGGCAGTAATAATCACAAATAAATGTCTTCTTAATGTGCCCTACCGGTCGCCAGGATGTCGCGAACTCTTAATAGCCAATGACACTAGCGCAAGCAATGGTATTCACTTCATACTGTAGATCAAATTCGTTAGTAGCTGAACATCCATTCTAGCGACAAGACGTTTATATTTCAGTGATTTTAAAGAGTGTGTTTTTATTTTCAAAAAATAATTTTAATCATGGCTGGTTCTATCGCCAACAACGCTGCGCTGTACAAAAAGAAGACGTTCACTTATGTGCCTCCAGCACCGCCCGCGGATCTCATCGACTGCAGTAATTTTATACTTGACTTCACCGGCCGTAAGTTTTTGAATGTAGGACTTGATCCTGCAGATGAATTAAACACCATAGTACAAGTCATCACTCCTTCGAGATATGTAAATATGCCACCTGATTTTATAAGACGTATATTCTCACTTATGGGGAACATTCTATCTTTTATACTCGACCTACCTCAAAAATACAAGCGAAATTTATTTCTGGAAACAGAAATTATTTCACTATCTAGTATGCTGTATAAAGGGGAAAATATGCTTGTCATCGAATCAAAAACACAAGATGGATGTCGAGTATTGCTAAATCGTACAGATTTAATGAAATTGCAATATTTAGAATGGTGTATATTTGAAACAGTCGTTCGAAAGTCAACCATCATACGGCCAGTTGTCATAAAACAATTCGATATGTTTTTGAACTATATTGATATTGAATCCGCCAAAGTTGATTCACCACCAAAAACACCTGAAGAAATGGTCACATTTATCAAACATATAAGCGACGAAAGAGTAATTTCAAAAATTCCAAAAAATGATGTCAATTTCATCAGTCAACTCAAAATGCATGCTTCTTCACAATTAGCTGAACGTTGAGCGGAAAAATGTCTCCAGAGGTAAGTCTTTAAAACTTATTCACTCGTAAAAATACAATACATATTTTATTATTTTATAATTATTCACTGACTCCGAATGTGAGGTTCATTTCGCCGCCTCAATACTCAAGTATATCCCCAATGCTATCTATTGAAGAAGATGACTATTCAGTGTCACGAGTAATTACGATTTATAAATTTAAATAATTTAAGTATTAATAATTTTAATTTTATAGGCAGCTGACGAGGATCGTAATATCGAAGAATTTTTAACACAGGCGACATGGGCACCAACCAAGTCATTGGTAATACTCACATTTAATTTTTTAAATAAATATATATTGACAAATTATTATTTGTATAGAATATTGATGTTTCTACCAATCCACCAACGAGATTCTTAGACACTCTTCCCCCATATTTTGATCCAGAGAATTTTGCTCAGTCCCCTCCGTGGTATACAGCGCCTGAAACGAGCATTGCAGTGGACGAAAACGACGGTCCAACGTCTTTTAACCACTCGCCATCGATTCTCGACTTCACAGACGGCAAGCCCAAGAAAAAACGGAACGCGAAATGCAAACTGTTTGAATGATGTTGTTTAAATAAATTTTGTGTAAAATAAAAAAAAACAAGCGTGATATTTAAAAACAAGTTTTTTTATTTATTAGATTAAGTTTTTACAATGAGGTTTTCAATTTATATTTAAGACAAGGTATATACAAGGTATAAAATTATAAAATATATACAAGGTTTACAATTTTCTAACATCTCCACTAAACGGATTATAAGTTATAATCTGATCATGTAGTATTAAACAATAAGCTGCAGTCTTTTCTGGAATAACTGTGTCGGTTTCAAAGTCTATTCGTAGGTCCACGGTCGATGATTTAACGTTATCATTCTGGTACGACAAATCAACAACGACGATTGGCACATAGTTTTGAAAAATATGTTTTGATAATAATGGTTCACAATACTCTCTTTCGTAATACGATTTTTGAAAGTCTGTATAAGCTTTGTAGAGTATGCTGGTGGTATTATTTTTAAAATCAGCTCGAAAGTCTTCATATGGATACACCTCAGAATTTAAGTGCACCTTAAGATTTTTTAGTTGACAGTGATCAAATCGTCCAGCGTCAGTTTCGATATTGTTTTTTCTGCTTGTTTGTAGTCCAAACAACACAAATCTTGGTTTTTCGAGCAAACTGCTAGACTTTACTGTCCACGAATGAGAAGTATTTCTAGGGAGCACTGGATATTCACAGAGATCCCAGGTTCTGAACGCGCACGATAGTGTTTTACGAGAATCTAATACTTTCAATAACTTTAATTTTTCTTTATCACTGACTTTGATAATAGGCATCTTCCAAGTCACCTTAGTCAGTTCAATTGTAATTTTTTTATTTTTATCGACAGCGGCGGTTGCGCCTTCACCCACAACATGTATCGCATCAAGGTCGGTAGATGCACGATTCAAAATCAGTTGCTGATTGCAATTGAGTAATATTTTTTTGTAATCTTCACAAAATCCGAATACATGTTTTAGAGGAATACATCCGGAAAATATATTATTGGTCATAAAATTTTTATTATCTTCACTATCCATTGCCGAGTCCCAAGCCATGTTCTCTAATGCATTCAAATCGTTTGGAGTATATGAGCAGTATGCTTTCAAACAAGACGCAATTCCAGGTGATTTCAATTTCTGTATTTCTATTCCGTTTATTTCATATCGCATTTCAGAGAATAAAAATGCCAATCCGTTATTTGAAAAACGAACTTCCCCCACTGCATCGGTAGGTTTATTTATTTTACCCTCGATGAAAATATAACTCTCACACGGCAAAGTGTAAGAATCCATGTTCTGAACATTAATTCTAATTTCTTCATTGTATGATAAAGCGGAGCTTGAATACGGTGTGAACGAATGGTAACTCTTTTGAGTTATTTTACAATCGTCGACATAGTCGGCCGTCACGTCTAAATATGAGTCATCCATCATTGTAAAGAACGAAGAAAATTTAAATTATTTTTCGTGAGTTTGGTTTGGATAGGTTTGTACTTCTTCGCTGCTAGCGATGTAGACTTCTTAACGGCAGGCGGTATACTGATAGGTTTTTTGATTGTAGCTCTTTTTATATTAAATTTGAGTGCCATATCCACGCGTTATTTGTAAACGAATTGTTATCGGTTCACCACGCAGATTAATCAGACAATCGTTCTGATCTTTTAGCACGATATTTACTTTAGTTATTGAAGTCGTATTGAGACCATAAAAAACTGGATGTCTAGGTACTTCAACGATTTTATATCCCACAGGTACAGTAGGATACAGCTCATGTATGATCTGGCTCGGTGCTCCGTCACAGAATGAGCCGGTGATTAAATTACACTCTACTTTTATACAGTTTATTTTCATTATGTTGACAATATTTTCAGATTCATGAGTAGCACCAGTAGTGTATCGTACATTTCTAAAACCTAGCAATTTCGCTATGCTATTCTCGACTCCTAAATCAACATCATGACTGCACGATATCATACACTTTAATGTCCTGCTGTTTGCTTTTAATTCAAACATACTGACATAGTCGGGCATCATTTTTTGTATAATAGACTCTAACTGATCCAACTCATACGTCCCCGTAGGTATGATTACGTACTCACGTTCATTGATCAAATTACGGAAGGCAATAGTATTACAACCAGGTTCTATGTTTGGTATAGAATTATTTGTCTGTAAACTCAAAAGGCAAATCTGTGCAGTATTTTCTACTTCCAACGGAGGAAAGATCTCGCATGACAACTCACTAGAGTTTCCGTTTAACGTTAATGTGAACATGATAAAAATTTTAAACACAAGTGTCCACAGTTTGTAGTATTATATTTCTGCTCACTGTTGTAATTGAAACGTATATCGCATCCGTGAAAATATTTTTGTACTTCTATTGGAGGAGGTAAATTTCCAAAACTGTCGTAATATTCGACTTTTTTTCCGATTTTTTTATACGCTACCCAATGCGTTCCTGTACCTTTCTTCGTATCCAGGTTAATAATCGCTGATTCTAGGCGTTTAGGACGTTTAGATAACCTATCTCTGGTAAAAACGCCGATGAAATGAGGTATTTTCATCATGCGAGCATATTTTATAAGTTCGTAATCGTACAACGCTCTACTGGGTAACGTGGCAATTAGTTTTTTGACTTTCTATATTTTTTCGCTTTTACACCCCCACCACTTTTTTGTGGTGTTTCTATTTTGTATGAGTTGCCTTTATACGGAGTGAGATATAGCCCTTTGCCTAAATGCGAAGGAGTGTTTCTATTAAACTCATTGGCGACCTTCACAACGTTGGCTACGCCGCCAGTTAGGGCTCCCAGAGCTGACAACCCGGCGAAAATCGGTATGAGTGGTAGCACACCGCCTTTTTTCGGAATATTTATTGTTCGTGGAACCCTAGTCTTCTTAGTTTTGAATGTTTTTCGCGCGACGGCTAAACATTTTTTAGTCAATTTCATCAAGTTTTTTTCACCGAAATTTTTCTTTATAACATTTTTAGTGGCTTTAAGTGCTGCTTTAAAACCACAACCGCCACCTACTTTACGTTTTGCTTTCATAGCAGTAGTCACACCCCAAGCCACAGCTTTTTCTTTTAAACTCGAATCTTTTGACTTGAACCTATCCCAGGCTCGCTGCTCTAATATAAAATCGGCTTTGTTACGATCTGCGATAGAGTTGCTATTCTCGTAAGCAATATCGTGGTCTCTACAAGCAGAGTCTAGTGGGTTTATACCTTTATCACCGCGAGCTAATCGTTTTTTTAAATTTGTACCAGGTCCACAGTATTGATAACCTGCAAAGAAATATTATTATTATGAGAATATCGGATTCATTATTCTAGACTTACCAGGCACGTGAACTTCCAACGGTAATTTATTTATAAGCGTGTTTATGAGCCCAGCGCCTTTATTCTTGTTGCTTCTTCGAGCGAGTGACATCGTGTACTGATAACATTCTCGTCGTTGCTCAGTTATTTATAATGAAGTTCGTCAAGCAAGAAATAAAACTCACAGTTGAAAACGTGGACCCACCTACAACTGCTCAACAGCATAGACATGGTGCGCTTCTACCTAATACGATACGCGCGCTTATTGTGGGTCCTTCCGGCTGTGGGAAAACTAATTTAATATTTACCTTACTAACCAATATAAACGGAATACGATTCCACAACGTATACATATATTCAAAAACATTGGATCAACCCAAATATAGAATGCTAAGTGAAATATTATCGGACACTGATGTTGGATTATTTACGTTCTATGAAAATGAGCAAATTAATGAACCTGAGAAAGCTTTACCGAACTCTGTATTTATTTTTGACGATATTATCACTGAAAACCAAAAGATTGCAAGAACTTACTTTTCCAGAGGTCGTCATAATTTAGTTGATGTATTCTATCTGGCTCAGAGTTATTCAAAAGTCCCAAAACAACTTTTGCGTGATAACGCTAATTTTATTGTATTATTCAAACAAGATGAGACTAATTTAAAGCATGTATACAATGAGTATTGCTTTGGTGATATGTCATACTCAGAGTTAAAAGACTTTTGCACTTCATGTTGGCGTCTGGGTAGATTTGAGTTTATCGTGATAAACAAAGACTGTGAACGTGAAAACGGTCAATATCGTCATGGATTTGACACATTCGTCGTTGTATAAAGTGTTGTCATTATGGAAATGATTCATTCACAGTCATGGCTGCTAGCGGTGAAGTACTCGGAGAACTGATTAAAGCCAAAGAAAATATCAAACGCAAGTATACAGCATTAAAACACGGCAAAGCCGATATTCGTTCATTAGTATAGGAAACGTTAAGTCCGATTATCGAACCATTGGAAAAAATAAAACATTTAAGTCCAACAACACCACCCATAGAACTTAAGGGAGATACTATAGAGCTTAAGGAAGGCAATACTATTGAGGATTCTTTTAAAATAAATGATTGGTTTAAATCTTATGATATAGACAAGACGTACGGACCAAAAAAACGAGCAAATGGTAGTGTACATTTAGGTAAAAAAGAAATTAATCTCGTCAACAATACGTTGACTATTGAAGACCTGTCTTACCCGCTAACACAAGGACTTGGTAATTTAATATTTTCAAAAAATCCTAAATTATACACCAAAAACGATTTAGATGCATATAAATCTATATTGATTCAAACATCAGCCCATCTCACAGCAGACGAGAAAAATAAAAAAGGTGGTAATAAATTTACTGATATAATCCAAAATTTGTTTCCTTCTGGAAGTGGGCTATCTGTGAAATTACAAAAACATAATTTAGTTTACTGGAACGACCCTAACGAGCTAGTCAAAAGATTGCGGTTACTATTAGCGTCAAAAGCAGCTGGTAATACAGGCGTTTCGAACGAAATAATATAAATTTTCGAAGAATTGAGCGAAGCCGGGTTAATAAAACATATTCCAAATGTCTAAACGAGATATCGCAGTCGAACTACATAAACCAGCGAGGAAAAATTATACACGGCGTAGAGTTAATGTTTACGGCAAAAATGATCTATGGCAAGCTGACTTGGTCGAAATGATACCATATTCGAAAAAAAATAAAGGGTACAAGTATATTTTATGTGTGATAGACTGTTTCACAAAGTTTGCCTGGGCAATAGCGTTAAAATCCAAAACTGCTAAAGAAGTTTCCAGCGCAATGTCTAAAATTCTGCTTAAACGCACACCAAAACTATTACAGCTCGATAACGGTAAAGAATTTTACAATTCTACATTCGACGCGTTGATGGAGAAGCACAACATACATAAATATTCGACTTATAGTACTATGAAAGCGTGTATTGTAGAACGTTTCAACCGCACATTGAAAGAAAAAATGTTTAGAGAGTTTACAGCACGTGGCTCTCACGAATGGTTATCTATTTTACCTTCATTGATTAAGGAATATAATAATTCAAAACATAGGACTATAGGAATGACACCAGTGCAAGCTGATGCTAATCCTACGTCAGTCAAAATTAAACAACGAAAAATTGTTAATGGAACAATTAAATTTAACATTGGTGATAACGTTCGTATAAGCACATATAAAGGTGTATTTGCAAAAGGATATTTACCGAGCTGGTCTACAGAAATATTTAAAATTATTAAAATAAACGAAACATTACCTACTACTTATCAGCTACAAGATTATACTGGAAAACCGATTGCCGGTTGCTTTTATTCAGAAGAAATATTGAAAACAAACTATCCGAATGACTATTTGGTCGAGAAAATTATACGTAAGAAGGGGAAGCAAATTTTTGTGAAATGGCTCGGGTTCGATAATACACACAATAGCTGGATAAATACAAGTGACATTAGAAAATAGTGTCAGTCGAGCTATAGACATGAACGTGTTTGGTAGTTCTCAGTCTGGCGAAACAAAAAAAATTATTTCAAATCTCGAACAGTCGAACAAATCGTTTTCGTCTAAATTAGATAAAATCGAGCATTTACTTGAAGAAAATCATAAATCCATTCAAATTCAAGAAGAACAAGTAGAAGCGATACAATTGACATGTATACAAATAACTGAGCATATGACAAGAGGTGAAGTATCATTACAATTAATCAAAGAAAGTACAGAAGTGTTAAAAAACATAATACCTGCTATACTCAGCCGTCTAAATAATATCGAAACGTATTATAAAGACAAGCAATAATGTCTTCAGCCATCTTGGACATGCAATGCGTACTTGGTGTCAACAATAAATACATGGTTAAAGAAATGTCTATAGTAGACACGGCAACATGGGCGACTCAACATTGGATTTTAAAACATTCAAACTCGATGCAGGACAATAAGAGTCGTAAAACCAACAAGTGGTTGGAACGTAATTACCATCAACTAGCTATAGAATACGGTGATATCGAGTATGAAGAACTCGGTAAAATATTGAATTCATTAAAGTTTGGTTGCATTTACGTCAAAGGCGAACAGAAAAAACAAGTTCTTATAAAGTATATACCACACGTCGCACTCATCAACATCGAAGATTTGGGCTGCCCTCGTTTGGATAAAATATGTGATGATGAAACTCTACCTTGTTGTATTTTCCATATGGATTTTAATCCTAAACAATGTACATTTTATAAAGTATTTGCTATAAGAAAGTGGTTTGTGAATAATTCTTAAAAATATAACAATAATTATATTTTAACATTGTTTTTTTTTATTTTTATGGCATCATAATATATGTGATAACATAATATACAAGGTTATAGATTACAATAATACAAATTATTCAAGTGATATTTAAAATATTTACAATACAAATATATATATAATATATATACAAGGTTATAGATTACATATACAAATTATTCATTTAAAATGTACATGGTATTTACAAAATATATTAATCTATCTCAAGTATATAACATGGTAATAAAAATATTTACAAATTATATTCAAATATTTAAAATTATTCAGTCATGTGCCGAAGAAGGTCTCTCATAAAGTCTTTGTCAAAATCTGTCCATTCACGTCCCCCAGCTTCTACATCAAAATCAGATTCAGTCCAATCATCTTCCCTATAAAATTAAAAATATTATAAGTATAAAAATTTAAGAAATTGTTTTTAATCTTACTTAGTGGAGTAATGTCCATGAGCTAAAGTATGCACTATGTCTTCCATGATAACCCTCTTGTCATCAAAACTGTTGTATGTCAATTTGTTCATTTTTATAGTATTAAGTTGGTGTTTGAATGATCGAATGGAGAAATTTTGATGGTAAAAATCCAAGTCAGTGTCACCGAATAAACACTTTTTATGATTTTCAAATGTCATGTGATTTTTAATAACATGACCTCGGATGCCTTTCGCTTTGATTTTTTCTTCGTCATCCAAAATGTATGCATAGGACTTTGCTCGAAGGGCTATAAATTCTCTTATAATGCACCCATCTGTTTCATCAGAAAATAGCCCGGGAATCTTTTTTCTCTCTGCAATGTAGCACGGATGGTCCTGGGGTAGATTTGACGTGTCCATTCGATCGAGCAAGTTAGCATTATTCACCAGATCATTGTAAAAATCATCGGTCTGAATGTAGTATACCAGTGAATCTACGATAACAATATTATTAATGATATATCACTATTTTTTTTTTTTTTGAATTTGTTAGTTTACCGGTGTCAGTGTACATCAGCTCAATTTTATCGCCATAGTGTTTTTTCATCACGTTATAGTGATAATCGTACATCAAGGTCTTTGAAATATCTAGCACAGCAAAACCTGTAATCCATTGAAGTATTAAAATCTAACAATATGCAATTTAAAGTGAATATTTACCAATATAAATAGGTTTACAAAAATTAATGACTTTATTTTCTAACGTAACCGCATGTAGGTTTTCGTTGTATGTAGTACAGCGTTTAAAGGTTGTTTTGTTGATAAGTTATTGTAGTCGCTGTTCACTAGACACCAGTTCAATGTTAATTCTTTTTTTTACGCTTTCCATCGTTTTTCCTAGACAAATGAAATTAATATAACGAGGATTAGTTATGATTTATATTAACAAACCAAAAATAGCATTGTTCATCAGCTTAAAGAAATCCTTCTCAAAGTCGTTTTTTGCCTTCTTACGCAACTCTGTTTTGAGATTGATATATTCAGCCAGCCAAGCTGACTGATTAAATTAAACTACTCTATGCACCTATAGTAAAATTAATATGTTAAAATCGGTAAAGATGTAAAAAAAAAAAAAAATACTTTTTCGACTCTGAGACCGTTGGCTATAGCTTGTTGTAGGTTTCGATAATGTATTACATAATTTTTTTTCGATTCTAGTGTTGCCATGAAGTTCTTTACTTTAGAACCTGATGGAACACTGTTATGAGGTAGGAAGGGTAAGGCATTATGTTTATCATGTAGTTCGACCGGATACTTGACGTAAACTTCATATATTCGACCGATAGGAGATGTTTCGTTTAAATCACTTAGACCATCTAGCGAAGGCTTGACCCACTTAAAACCACCATATGGCATGTACTGTGACATCACCCATCCGTAGAGATTATTACCTAAAATATAATTTTAATAATACCAAAAAAAATATATATATATATTTATACTTACAATCTTGATATATCAGCCATGATTTTTCTTTATCTACGTTATAATCAGGTGTTTTTTCGTGGTTTGCCTTAGCGTATCTCATACTAGCTTGAGTCAATCCACCTCTGATTCCTATGAGAATAAGTAATCAAATTCTATAGTAAAAATAATCGTGAAATATTTATCTTCCTCGAACATTAACAACATATCATACTCGGAGAGTAGCTCAAGCTTCATTGATGTGTATTTTAACATACAATCAAAGCTGAAGCCTGGCGCTGTATAGTAAAATGCAGGGTCCAGTTGATATGTAGTTAAACACAGATCTCTAAAATTTTCAAAAACGTCTGTCAGTAATAAAACATCAATCTTTAAATACAAGTCCGAATAATCTCCAAGTGTTTTGCATTTAAAGTGGTTCCATACATCTGTCGCATGTTTATACTCTTCGTTTTCAATATTTGACTCTGTGAGTGTACTGTAGAAATCTTTTTTCTCCGGTAAACATGATTCTTCTAACCTGTTCCACCCATCTGTATACTCATACGGGTACACCCCTTTACGGGTAACAAAAGGCATATCTTCAGATTTAAAAACTATAGAAATTTCTCTGAATTTTTCGAAACCAGGAGTAATTACATTTGAGGCCAGAGTCGACAAGCTTGAAGCTAGAAATCTGAATGTGTCAATGAATCTTATTGAAAATATGTTGCTTACATGCTTTAAAAATGATATATATTTTTCTTCAGTATTTGGAATGACTGAAATTGTCTTAGTGTCATATCCCAGCTCGGTTACGATGAAATGAGCATCGTAATTGGATAAATTATGTAAAAAGCATGGTACAAAATTAGGCGTTTGAAGCTTGAGGTTACAAGTATTACATAATGTTTGACGGAATTGTCCGGATAAGTGGCAGTGATCTGCTACTTTATGGTTTTCCACAGAAAACCTATTTTTACATAAATTACATGCTTTACATAATTCATGTGTGCGTCGCTGTTCCGGTGTCATTATGATTGGTGTATTGGTTTTGAGCAGTTTGTCTATTTTTTCAGCAATTTCAACAATACTTAATACAAAATGTTTCGCTACCTCCTGATTATGTTCACTACCACGGAAAATAACTGGTGTTGTAGGTATCCCAAACGTTTCAAGCAGTTCAATTGGCACGTCGTCTTTAGCTTTTACAACGAAACCGTAACTCATTGGGGAATGTTTTTGAAAAGCCAATGTATTCTCGCCTTTGCTTTCTTCACATTTTACAATAAGTGCTTCAAAATCTGCATAGATAACTATAGGGTGGCGTTGTGTTTTTTTCCAAGCTTCAAACTCTAACATTGTTCCGGGCGCAGGCAATTTTGGTAAAATAGGTTTGTGTGCTCCACAAATCATTTTGTGTTGTTCCAACGCCGCACGTCCATTCAACTTATGTTTCAAAATTTGCTCATCGAATGATGCAAAACACCTCTTGCAAAAATATGCTAAATGTTCATTCTTATTTTTTTGTGTGCTAATAAGTCGTGATAAATTTGATATGTATTCATAATGTGACCCGCTATCATCCGTCACCAACAGCAAGTCAAAATGGTTTGGTTTCTCGGTATCTGCAATGCGTAATAGGTATACCTCATACGTCGGGTACTTTCGTGGTGGTTGTAATTTTTTGTCCAGTCCGTACATTAACAGATTCGTTTTGATTATTTTTTTCAAATTTAGTTATATCAGATAGCTGTGTTGGGTATGAGATACCTTCAAAATTATATTTTCCTTCGTATTGTGTATAGTTTTTACCAACACGACATACCGGTTTCTCTGTCACATGCCTCGCAAGAATCGCCCACTTAAAACACTGTTGGTCCACGTTTTGGTGATTTATTGTGGCTCGTTTTCTGTCTATAAATGCTGGCAACGATATATACGATGAACCGCACATTTTTGTGTATTTATAAACTGCCAATAATAATCCGTCTATAGTTTGTAACGTGAACCCACTCCCTCTACTTGTATAAGTCTCCTCTTCCATCAATAATTTTGTAAAAGATTTCCCAAGAATTGTTGATATATCCGACTCTCTAAACAATTCAATAGCAAATGTTTTGAAAGCACGATTTTCCGAGGAATTTTCTACATGTGGACGGTTGTAGGTCGCCTCGAGTTTTAAATTAAATTTTATCGGCCCAACATGAACGCGTGTTTTCAATAATTTTTTCAGCTCAGGCTCGAGAAAGTGGAGAAATTCTTGATAGTTCTGTACATTATTAATATTTTTATAATAATACCACACAACCTTACGGTTGCGTGCTGATTGAATTTCCATGAATCCTAAATCTGATACTGCTTGAAGTCTAACTTTTTTTTAATTTCACTGCAGTTTCAGTATTTTCTGTATGTATTCGTTTATTACCTAGTCGCGTATAATAACCTAAAATTAAAAATATATTTTTAAAGGTATACCTAGATCAATATACATCATTGTATAGTTCAGAAAACCTATAGGTCTAACTCGTGACAAATGTAAAAATTTAAGAGTAACTAAGCTTGGGTAGTATCCATATTTTTTTCGAATTCATCCATCGCAGCCATACAGATATCATCCCCATCAAGTCCTTTATCAAACACTTGTCCAGTTGAAGACACAGCTTTTTGGTTAGAAACTCCAGCTGGTATGTCTGGGAAATTTATTCCGGGAGCTATTTCTATTTCATCAGGTATCTGAACGCGAACCTTGCCTATATAATTAATAAAAGGTAAATTAAATATTGAGTTAAATTTAACAAAAAATAAATAAATAAATAAAAATAAAAAAATCTTACTTGTCGTTTAGCATAGTCCGGCATTTTCAGCATTCTTCAAAACTTGCACGCACATTTCGTCGTACTCGTCGTTAAAATCCTCGTTTGGCTCATTAATATCTTTAGCTGGAGCTATTTATATTTCACCTCGAGGCGTTAGAACACGACCAACAGCTTATAAAATAAATATCAAATTGAATTTTTGATAAATAAAATAAACATACCGTGAATGTTTTTCATGTGTTTGTTCAAGCCGGTTTTGAAAGTGAACGTTAACGCACAAACAGTACACGGAAAACGAACTCCAACATGCTTTTTTTTGTGAACAGTCAAATTATCTTTACGTGTGAAAACCGATGGACACTGATCGCATTTAAACATTTTTAAATTATGTAAAACACTTAGTTTTTGAAAAATAATAAAAAATAAAAAAATAAACAGTGAAATAAAAACTTGGAAAAAAATTATTTTAAAGACGGAGCGAGCGAAAAAATACGTGTACACCAGTTTAAGGCAGTAGACGGACTAAACGGCTACCGACTCCTTGGGTCAAGAGTCTCTATAATAGGTGGGAACATTTTTCAATATTAATGGATTTTGCCGGAATGTGATTGATTGAAAAGTCTACCATAGAGTTCTAAGTATGCAGGTGCAAGCTATATATATATATATATATAGCGGCTACTAAGAGTCGGCTAAATCATGGTGCTGTTGCGGGCCTTGGCATCTCCGCATATATAATATAATATAATATTATAACAATGTAATATAGAATATATTAACCTTTCATAATGTTATTACGGTGTTAAACCCCGTATATATAATTGACATAAATATTATAACAATGTAGTATAGAATATGTACTATCTGCCCCTATCTGTGTAATAAATCACTGGACAGGTGCACGACTAGAAATCATGGACACGAGTCACTATTCTAAGAATCGGCTACAACAACCGAAAACACACACACACAAGCCGCACGCACCGCTACAATCAAAGGTTAGGTTAGGTTTAGGACAGCCTGGGCAGATGTATCATAGCCACGGAGACCTGAGCAACTTCTCGTCACACGCGCACACGCTATTGTAGTATTACTAAATTTTCTGCTGAATAAACATAATTCTATAGTTAAATTTGGTACTTGTTGATTTGTCTCTAAAGCTTTCGGGTATTTGGAGCCTTTGAGATTACGCACATAACAGTGCCAAGAGCGAATATGATATTTTATATACAAAAGTTATTAATGTGTGTTATTCACTAATAGGCATTTTAATATCGTTGGTGTGCGACATCCTGTCGACCGGCCGGGCACAACCGCATCCTGGCGACGTATGTTCTTAATTGTTTATCGATGAATTGAATAGGGATATACATTATGAGTCCGCGACTTCCTGGCGACCGGTAGGGTACATTAAGCTATAATTGAAAAAGGATATTCTCCTATTGTCTCTTAATGTCGAAAGTGTCTTTCAATATGAAAGGTTTTTGCAAGATAGTGTGTGAATATTTTTTCGAATACGGATAATATACCTATTATTTGTCAAGGATGTTTGTATATATTAATTTTCTAAAAATATAAGAAGGAACAATACGTTGTTAGAATATTTATTTGATTATGGGATAGTATTTAAATATATATACTATATTATTCAATGGGTTCGAGTGGAGTTGAGAATTAGGGTATCTCCAGGTTCTAACGCAGAATATTATATTTTTTTTAAATATATGAAAAATGTATGCCGCGCATGTGATAACGGATTGAATGTATGATAATATATGATAACAAAAATATAAGTCACGCTCGTACGCGATCGGGGCGATTAATAACTGAAAAAATAAATGATTGATAATATATGATAACATGTGATAACTGATAAGATATGTGATAACAATGACGATGGTAAAATATATGATAACAAATGATAACGGTGGCAAAAGATAACATTTGTGATAACAATTTATTTGATAACATGTGATAACTGATAACATGTATGTCGCGCACGTAAGCGATCGGCGGCGGTGCCGGTGTTGGCGTGCAGTGGCGGGCGGCATATTAGCATTCTGTGGACGGTCTCGGCACCTATAAACTAATTGAGACTTCTGATTGGCCCATTTGAGTTTCCGCGCGAATTTCATAATTTTATGTTATCAGTTATCACACATAATATTATAATAAATATCCCACACAGCACATGTAGTCCAGTGGTTATTTAATGGATGACCGACATATCCATATCACGTCTAGTCCACAAGTTACTTCGGATAGATATCATATAGATATCCATACAAGATTACTTCTGGACTAAATTTAATATGGATATGTTGGTCATCTATTAAATATCCACAATATCATAATGATTTACGCATAGGTAATGGCGTCGGTATAGTCGGTAATAATATAGATGCGGTTGTTATATCATCGTTTCCTGCGCAAGCATACACACAAGAGCACAGCATACAACTTATTATTGATACATGGGCACGGTGTGTTATTGTGTACTCGTAGTATTGCAGTGTATAATATTACTGTATATCACTTTAATCGTATACTAGCTAGTATATACTTCGTCATCATAATTAATAATTATTACTAAACTTATAAGTTGTATTGTTTGAACGAGGACAGCCATTTCTTGAGTTTGGCATCACGGCCGCTAAGCGCGCGCCGTGCAGTCTGAAGTCTGAGTAGAATCGTCTAGAATGACTAGACGCAACTTCCGCTGATCCGCTCTAGCGCACTGCGCACCGGTTGTCACTCGTCTTCATCCACGTTATTATTCCTGTGTTTGCCACCCGAAACCACGTGATGTGCTAGTTTGAGCTTTCTTTAAGTATATTAATATTATATTATAAATGCTTATAATAGCACAAACAGTAGTGACAGTACGTTTCCGTCTTAACGCATGACCTTTGCGCGAGCCCGTACTTATTTTCGTGTGCTGTTCTATCCGAGCCACACCGCGTAACCGTTAGGTCTGCGCGAGTCCGTATATAATTGTCGTGTACCGTTCTGTCCGAGCCACCACGTGACCGTAAGTCCGTTAAGTCTGTGCTACTCCGTATATAATAGTTGTGTACCGTTCTGTCCGAGCCACCATCACGTGACCGTCACAGCGTTCAAAATTTCAGATCAATCATCTATACGCATTATTGGACCCGCGGTCGACAGTGTGATCCGTGTAACGTCACAATAATAGGTGTATTCACTATAGGTATGTTATTTAACTTAATTATATAATAACTATAATATTATAGAGCTTAAATATAAATATATATAATAACAGCCTTTACCTCCGCTACCGATCACGGCCCGGGTTGCTAGTATAATAATATTATTAATATTATATAGAAGGCTCATCGTCAGCTCGACGTCGATGATCTGAGCAGATCGTATAGATATAGTACTTTTATATATACTTCATATTATTATTTTAGAAAAATAACTCGGCACTGCATGCCTTATTGTTCATCACATATTTTTATTTAAAAATAGGTATATTTTTTAATTCCCATTTATTTACCCACCTATACATGCAGATACCTAATATAAATTAATATTAATGTTATTTCGAGCATATGCGTACCAAGGTGCGTACCTATTGAATTTTTATAAATTACCTACATTAAAAATATATTAGGTATATATATATATATATATATATATATATATATATAAATTTAATATTATTAATAAGTTCTACTACCAATATAAGAAATATATCTGAATTTATCCCCTTGGGTAATAAGACTGGAATAACTCAAAATTTGGTACGATATTATAGATATGATTAATTAAACTATACCATCAGAATCATACAATTTTTTTACTACAAAATGATAGAACACTGTAATATACAAACATTATCATACCTAATTAAATTCAGTCACAGATTTTTGTCCTTATAGATAAGTGCACATAATGTCAAAACGAAAAACAAAAGATATTAGTTGTATAAGTCAAAGGACATTTAGGCGTAGGGTAGCTACTGACTTTAATGCAGCTGTGCAAGATAGTGATAATAGTTTAGATGAAGATCGGGCTACACATTTGCCAATTACTAGTCATTATGAATCTGCAGTAGTTCCTGATAGTGATCAAAACCTTTTTCTCAATGGATACGTCACCAAAGGCAGTAATAATATTATGATTAATGATAATACCACTATCAGTACCAGCTTTACTGAAAATGCCGACTATAATAGTACTTCAAATGATATTCATAATTTAATATATGATAATTTGCAAAATTTCACATCTACAGATTCATCTTTCTCAGAATATGATAACAATTGCATACAATATATAGATTACTCCAACTGTGAATCTGAATCTTTTGAGGATAAACTGAAAACTTGGGCACTAAAATATAAAATTAAATTAAATGCTTTAGATGGATTACTAGTGATACTTAGGGATGAAGTATGTGGTCAATTTCTTCCTAAAGACTCCAGAACATTATTAAAAACTCCCAGAACTTCTGTAATTAAAAGTGTAGAACCCGGGCATTATTGTCATTTTGGTTTAAAAGTTGGCTTAAGAGAAGCAATGCAAAAAGAAATTATAAAATGTTCTTCTTACCATAATTCAAATATCGGGCTCAAAATATCAACTGATGGCTTGCCATTATCTGATAGCAGTAACAGTCAGTTATGGCCAATTTTTAGATTCAAATGTTTTTTTTTCAAGATTTTGTGAATGAGATGATAGATATTGTTAACAATGGATTTTTATTTGATGACACAGTGTATAGAGTGTATATACATAGCATTATTTGTGATGCTCCGGCAAAATCATTTCTTGTCAAAATAAAGGGTCACTCAGGTTATTTTAGTTGCACCAAATGTACTCAAGAAGGTGAGTTTTTAAAAGGTCGCCTATGTTTCCCAGAAACTAAAAATAATATTTTAAGGACTGATGAGGCATTCATACGACATGAGTATGAGGACTTTCATCAGGGACAATCAATTTTACTGCATATTCCAAATTTTAAGCAACCTATTACTAGAATATGTTTGGATTATATGCATTTAATATGCATCGGTGTTGTTAAGAAAATCATTAAATTGTGGCTAGAGGGCAAACCACATTGTAGATTCGTACGTTTACCTCATGCTAAAATATCGTTGTTGACTTCAAAATTATTATCTATAAAACATTTTATTACAAATGACTTTGCTCGAAAACCACAAAATATTGAATTTATTGGTAAATGGAAAGCCACAGAATTAAGACAGTTCTTGTTATATACCTGTCCAGTTGTTCTAAAAGATATTTTACATCCACAAGTTATAGATCATATTATGACACTCCATGTAGCTGTGCGAATTTTGTGTAGTAAGAGTCTTCTGCAAAAATATTCTGATTATGCTCAAGAACTGTTACAACATTTCATTGATACATTTATAATTTTATATGGAAAAGAATTTGTTTCTCATAATGTTCACGGATTGTTGCATATTGTAAATGATGCCAAATTATTAGGGACTTTGGATGAATTTAGCGCTTTTCCATTTGAAAATAAACTTAGATTACTCAAACGACAGTTGCGGAAATCTGATAGACCTCTTCAACAACTCCATAGGTACTTGGTACTTCGAGGAATCTATTAATATGACCAAAACTCTTAACCCCTCATTAGTAAATGAGTACACAAAAAAACATTTAGAAGGTCCAGTTATTGAAACTTCTGATGTCGATAAGCAATATAAAAAAGCGAAAATTAAGAATCTCTGTATACATATTATAAGTCCTGATAACTATTATATGTTACACGATAAAAGTATAATAGTTATCAGCAATATTATATTTGATAAAGTTCTTAAATGTAAGACAGTTTTAGGGAAAAAATATTTTAAGTATTCAGATATTTATAAAACACCATGTAATTCTTCAATAATTGATTGTTGGGTTGTTGAAGATTTAGAATCTAACTTCCAAAGTTGGCCAATATTGGAAATAAAATACAAGTGTCTGGCTTTACCTATTTATGCTGGTAGTGATAAGTTAGCCATGTTTCCAATTTTACATGGTGATTGTTCGCAGATGTAATTTTCTGATATTTGCATCCTACTATGTTATATTTTATATTAAATTATTGTAAATACTGTTCTAAATTTTTAATATTTGCACATAAACATATAGGTATCATGTAATATAATATACACACACAAAAAAAATACTAATTTTGTAAATACTTTTAAATTTTTATTAGACTTAATTTGTCCTACATAAAACTGCAATGTCTGAAGAAAACAAAATATGGAGTGTTGTTGAATTTGACGATGGCAGCATCCATATAGTCCCTCGAAATTGGTTTTTTTTTGACAAATCCGCAAAATTAAAATGTTATTGGCCAACTCAAGGAACATTTAAAACGATCACCGCATACATAAAAGCAGTTAAAAAAATGGCTAGCCCTGATGAAAACTGGCCGGTATTTGAAGCTCAAATACTATCAAGTTCTGGTAATAGTTGAAATTTTTTTAATTTCTACTAATAATTTTTACATTGATTAGATGTCAAATAATCTCTCGAATAATTTACAGATGATTTTGATGTTGCATACAAGAAACTCAAAAAAGCAGAAACTTATACTGATTTAACCACAGATGCCGAACAAGACAAGCTTAGCAGAAATTTAAGGCACAAAAAAAGAATAATAATTTCATCATCGTCAACTGATGAAGATAATTCATCTAAAGTTACTTTAGTTAAACTACCTGCTGGCTGCTGTACCAAAACCTCCTTCAAGTGATAATAACAATACATCAGATAAAGACCAAAAAAAGTTAGCTCCTGTAACTGAACGGTTATACAAAAAGAATAGATTATCAAATAAACCAGTATCATATGACTATGAAGGTAAATATTTCTTTGAAACTTTCCAGTAAAAAAATAAATTTTATACTAATTATAAATTCTTAATAATTTAATTTAAATTCAATATCTTAGAACGTTTTCAAAGTCCAATCTATGGCAAACCTTCCAGTGGTCATCTAACTAACTCAAGTAAAGATATTATAACATTTATAATTTAATAATATAAGAATTAAATCTAGGTAACATAATATTATAATTTTAGAAAATGTCAGTCGAAGCTTAATCTACAATAGTAAACCTTCAAGTGACTATCAAACTGATTCAAGTAAAGATCTCTTATAATATAATATATGCTTTAAAGATAACATATTTATAGTTCAATAATATGAGAAAAAGATCTAAATAATATATAATTTATTTTAATATAATATTTTAGAACTTTTCCATCCTAGTCCAAGTTATGATGATGAACCTTCCAGTGGCCATTCTGCAATTAACTCAAGTAAAGATACAATAATAATAAAATAATTTAATTAATGTATTAAATTAAATGTTTATAACATTATATATATATATATATATATATATATTATATATCCATTTTAGAACATTCACGCTCATCAAGTCCAAATTATGATGAACCTTTATGTGGCCGTGAAGCTAACTCAAGTAAAGATATAATATATAAGAATAAAATATAGATACTATATAATTTATTTTAATTTAATATTTTAGAACTTTTCCATCCTAGTCCAAGTTATGATGAACTATCTTACAGTGACCATCCAACTAACTCACGTAAACATAAAATTAATAACGCTTAATTTAATAAATATAACAATTAAATGGTGTAATCTTGATGTAATCTTTATGTATGAAATATTTTAGAAAATTCATATCCAAGTTCAAGCTACAATGACGACATAACAGATATATCTCTATTCCAAAAAGGAAAAAACCGTGAACGACGCCTTTCTAATAATGGTAAAATTTAATGTGCATATGTTCTTATACAATATACATCATCACATATTTGTAGTCATCAAATCATCTATATAGTGTGTATATATATTATGTATATGAATTGTTGACATGTTCACATAATATAATTTATTGCAGACATTGCATATATATTATTGTTCATAGGGCTAAATTAACTAAATTATTAGACTATACAATGCATGAATTATTTTTATATTCAAGTATACATTTTGCACATATTACTTGTTTTAGATTTTCAAGACCGAGTATTAAGACAACTATCACATATAAAACTTCATTTATTAAAATTAAATGAAAAAGTTTCATCGTTGAATTATCCTTCGCCACAAAACACAAACATTGATACTTACGATACGAATATATTAGACGATTTTCCTCTTAAATTTGAACTTGATTTACAAAATGTTGAAATAAAACTAAAAAATGATGAAATTTATAAGTCAAACATGGTATGATTTGAGTTTTTGAAGTTTATGATTTAGGTTCAATTGAAAATTGTTATTTTAATGATATTTTTTTTACTTATAGTTGACAGCTCTGTCCAAAATGGGTGGTTCAAAAACAGATGAGTCTACCAAGTATATTTTAAAAAAAATATACTCTGATCAATTAGCTATGTGTTACAGTTGGATGGGTGGAAAAGGAAAAAAAGTTTTATCTACCATGCTACTTCCTAAAATAATAATAGGTATATAATTTATTTCTTATATGCATATTGATTATTAACAAATTTAAAAAAATAGTAAACTGGAAATTTCAGTTCTTCATTTTTGGGCATTTTAATTAATAAAATTATTTTATTTTTAGAAGTGGTGCAGAAAAGAATCCAAAACTCAACTGAAATAGACATCGTAAATTCAATCAAAAATTGGTTGCGACATGCTTATCAAAGAAACTTAAACAGGTATTAATGAAACCTTATACTATTTAAACTAAAAGATATTTAGTTACATTAATAAATTAAGAATTGATAATCTATATTCATTTGTTTCATGGAAATACTTATACAAAATGTGTTTATATATAATTTATTCATAAATTTAAAACTAGTATTTTAGAAAATTCTTGTGAAGTCAGTGTAATAAATCAAAACAATATATTTGTTAGGAATTTATCATTGTCTTTAATTTAAATGTTTAATTATAAAACCTAAGCTTACAATTTATTAGTATATTAAAAAAAGAAAAAATATATATGTACGTTAGTCAACTCATAAGTATATTAACCATGTATATTATTAAAAGTTAAAATAAGTAGTTATAATAGTTTTATATTATTTAGTGCCTATTAACTTATTTTAAATAGCAGCTCTTTTTAATATACCTATCTTATTATTAATTTATTTTTTTTAAATTTATTTTTGGTTACCAATAAAATGATCTCTCCGTGACTAACTTACTTCTCTCTTGTTATTATTATTTCATAAATCATATATATATTTTTTTTAGCTTAAAGGCAGCAGAAAAAAGAAGCGTCCAAAATAAAGAAGATGATGAATAAGAGATAGATAGCACTATAGATTACTCACATGTGTATACTTAAAAAAATATATAATAAATGTTTAAATACATTAAATAAATTTGTTTTACTTTTTATTACTATCTTTAAGTATCTTTACATTTTAGTTTTAAGGTATAAATTTATTTTCGTGAGTCAACCGAAGTGAAACCTCCCAATAGCAGATGTTTTTTTAGTGATTTCGATATATTTCCTTTATATGATTAGCCCTCTGAAAAGCAAACACCTCCAAATAGCAGAAAAAATGTTAGTGTCCAGGGGTGTCCGGTATTTAGAGGTTTCACTAGTTTTACTATTTATTATTGAGAGTATAATAATATGGATAACAGATGAAAAAGTGGCGTTGCCAGAATGTTAAGATGAAGGGGAGTTAAGTATAAATTAAACTTATAAGTTTTTACAGTTTTCGTATATAATAAAATATAAGATTTATTAGGGGGGAAATGTTAAATAGGTGGAGAGAGTGAAACACCAGCTGACCCCCCTGACTACACCACTAATTGATGGATATTGTCATAGGTACAATGTAATATCCATTAAATATCTAATGTAGATATTTTGTTCTGTGTAGATATCTAATAGTGTACTATGATGGATATTGTATAATATTTTTAATGGATATCCATAGCATTGGAAAAAAGTGGCCATTTGGATAACTAGAATATGTCAAATAGATATCCATGTATATCCAGTAGATATTATGGATATCCAGATATTATATTCAATGAATATCCATTAAATAGACATGTGCTATGTGGGCTAATATAGAGTTACCCCAGCGGACAACAAGAAACAAGGCTGTCTTTACTGAAAGGTCCACTAAAACTTATTAAAAACTAAATGGAATGATTTACAAAAGTTGAAAAAAGTTTTGGCAGTGGATGTACACCCTTTTTATGACACACTGCCAAATTAATCTGCTTTCAAAGAACGAAAACAGAAAATGTGATTTCAGTTAATGTAGGTATAATATTTTGTATATTTTAATAACATAAGAATAACAAGACTGTTAATGTTAAAATGAAATACTTAAATACTACTGTTAACTATTTTTTAAATTTAATTTGTAAGCTTTTAAAAAAGGAGAAGACTACTATTTTACTTTTATTATTTTACCAAATCTAACATTGTGATTAATTAATTATATTTTATTATAATATTTTAAATTTGAAACAGTATAACTGTCTAATATTAAGATCCTTAAACATGTTAAATTATTATAACTTTTAAGTGTTAACTGTTAAGTTTTAGATAGGTACCAATTAATTGGACTACCTACTAGTTTGCAATAAAAATGCAAGAAGCTATACAATAATATGTAGATTTGTATGAACGTTTTTTTTTATGTGTCCATATTTTGAAAATGAGTATAAGAATTTATAAATAATNAGATAGTTATCACTTCACAATTTACAATTATTATTATTAATCTATTTTTACTTTGTAGATACATAATAATACAGTATATTGCAACTAGCAAAGAACAATGTGTTGTCTGATAATAAATGTGTTCGTTCCAATTATGATTACATTAGTATAATAATCATAATTCGCTAGGTATTTAATATAAATTTAGATACTCTTATTTTATGACAAGTGGTAGATACTTTTAATATGGATACTTTTAATGTTGTTCAAATTAATCCCAGTTTACTGCGTGCTAATCTGTTGAATGAAAATGACATTAATAATTATATAAAATATTATTCCCAACAAACACAAACAAGTTGGTGTGTACTTAAGTCATTTAAATCGAATAGATTTGTTATTCGGTAAGTGAGTAATACATATAAATGCCATTATTATTATTATACTAAATAGAGATGTATTATTACTTATGTAAAAAGTTAATACTATTATTAGATTAATTAATTAATTTTTACTTATAAGTTATTACAAATATGACATACCTATCTACATTTTTAAGAACAATGTATTTTTGAGAAAAAAAACTTTACAGGAAAATATACGTATGTCATCATAGTGGTGCTAATAAAGTAGATAAAGCCTTAAACAGAAAAGGAAAATCAAAAAACTGTGGATGTGAATCTAAGATCGATATTAAAATTAAGTTGACTAATTCAAATACTAAAAAAAAAGATCCACATGTTAAGGTAAATTAATTAACCGCTCAATATATTATTTATACATATGTCATAATATGTTACTTTTCTAATGCTTAGTTCTTTTTTTGTTTTGCTTTTAGGATGGATTACCAGCAATTATAAAATTTGATAATGAACATAACCATTCAATAGGTACTGCTGAAGCATTATCCTTCTTAAGACCTACAACTGATGATAATGTAAAAAAACAATTTGAAGACTACTTTAATAATGGTTTAGGTAAGTAAGTTTAAAGTTATAATTATATTATTTTAATATTTTATCATTAGGTACTCTAAAAAATAACTATTGCGTTAAGTTGTATTTAACTTACATGAAGTAATGTTATTCTAAGTATAATTTAGTAGGTATTTGTGTATTTTATTATAATTCATAATACCTATATTTTTAAATTAAAGTAGTTACCTTCAAAGTTTTGGTAATTATAATAACTATTGTTATCATATAAGTAATAATATTTATTATAAAAAAATATATGTTAATTAATTTAAACAATTAATTACAGGTATTGCTGAATCTTCTTCAATGCATGAATCAAAAATTGAATTAGAATTTGGGCCAAACTGTGAAGAATTGGCTAATGCTTCTATAAATCCCAAGTATAGGACTGTACGTTTTTGGTATGATCAATGGAAACAAATTCATCTTGGACCTGCCTCTGGAGTTGGTGTTGTACAAGTAAATTAATTTACTAACAATAAAAATTAAAGTTATGTATGAATATGAGATCAAACAGTAAATTTAATAGTTGAATACTAAAGTTTCTATAAACATAGGTTACTTAATACTTAATACAATTTGACATTTGGTAATGTTTTAAATTTAGAATTATATTGTTATATTGGTACCTATATAGACAGTGTCCCTTTGTGTTTGTTCCCATTAATATCTTGTATTTTAATTAGTATTTATAAATCTGTCTTTAAGAGCAAAATAAGTGTATTACATGGCCACATTCTTTATATATTAAAATAATTTCTAATATTAAAAAGATTTAAATTAAATTAAATTAAATTGAATACTTTTAAATAATATTTTATTACTTTTTAAATACTAATAGTATAATTATTTCTAGTAGGAATTTTATTTTATTTTATCCAGACCGTATCCAAATACTGTCTGAAGGAAGTAAGTATTGATTAGTATTTTAAATACATTTTTGCAAGGCTGGGGAAGTTAACTATTTTTTTCTCGTTAAGTTAATTTAATATAGAAAAATGTAAGCTAAGTTTAAAGTTAAAAGTTATTTTTTTTTACTTGCCAAAGCCAAAAGTTAATTCTAGCAAAAAGTAACTTTTTATGTAACTTAATTAAAAGTAACCTAACTTTTTAACTTGTTAATTCCCATCTTTGCATTTTTGTTTAGGTGTTTGAGTAGTATTTTAAATAATTTTTACAACACTGATCATATAATATTATAATTTATGTATAATATTAAATATTTACATTTATAATGTATAATATAGTTGTGTAAAAAACAGTTGCAACATAAATAAAAATAATGTTTTGGTTCTTATATGATACTTAAATTGTTTTAATTTTTTTTAGAAACTCAAAGATAAATCCAATGATTATAAAAAAGCAGGAATTATTGTGAAGAATGCGGAAAATCCCTTTGCTGTGGTTATTATAACTCCTATAATGCAAAGGGCTCATGAATTACCTTTTTCGAAGGATATAGCTTTTGTTGATAGTACATCTTCATGTGATGCCCAAGGTCATTCAGTGACGTTTATGTTAACTGCGTGTGGTATAGGTGCGGTTCCTTTAGCCATTATGATAACAAAAAACCAGTCAATTGCCGATTATGCAGCAGCATTTAATCTTATTAAGACTTCTATTTCTAATGGTTTTGGAAACCAAGGTTTTCCATTACAATTTATAACTGATGATAGTGATGCAGAAAGGCAAGCACTGAAGTCTGTATTCCCTGATTCCAAATTATTATTATGTCGATTTCATGTTTTACAATCTGTCTGGAGATGGTTATGGGAAATGAACCACCAGATACATAAAGATGATAGAAAAACATTGTATTTGTTATTTCGTGCCATTTCAGAAGCATCAACACATGAGTTAGCCATGGATTCATTTAATAGTGCAATTGGGTTGACTTCTACTTCATCATATGTTATAAATGGTAATAATATACCATTAAAATATCCCAAATGGATACAGTATGTTTCAAAATATTGGGATAGAAAAGAAATATGGTGCATGGCATTCCGTAACGCTTCTACTCATGGACACCACACAAACAATTTTAGTGAAGTCAACGGAAGGTTATTTAAAGATATTGTACTGTCTCGAAATAAGGCATATAATGTTGTAGCATTAGTTGATTTTGTTTGTACAAGCATGGAAGAATATTATCAAAAACGTTTGAGAAATTTTGTAAATGGCAGAAATGATACAGCAAGGTATTTGTATGAGGATGAACTAAACAAAGCATCCCATATCCATAAAGAAGATATTGAAGAATTATCTGATAACATATTCAAAATTAAATCAGAAAATCATAATTTATATTATGAGGTTGATGGGTCTGTTGGATTTTGTACGTGTCCTAAAGGTAAAATGGGTGGTTTTTGTAAACACCAAGCATCTGTGTATCACCATTTTGGACAAGCAATGCCAAATTTACCTCCAATAAGTGTTGATGCTCGTTATTCTCTTGCTAAATTAGCTTTCGGCCAAAATGTTGGACCTAAATCATTTTATATGCCATTGATTCCTGAATTAAGTAACAATCAACCGCTAAATCAAGATATTAATGAAGAATTGCCAACGATTCAAAGTTCCAATGAACCAGTAAATATTAATGATATTCATCTTGCCAATGTCACACACAATGAAAAGATTGATGAATATGAAAACCAAATTATTAGTTTAATGACT